ACGCGCGCCCCCGACACTCAGGAATCACGCTCCCGCTGTGGACTTCTTCGCGAAATATTTTGGAATCGCGCTGCCGCTCGAGACTTCCTCGCGACTCCTGCAGGACGCACACTTCAGCAACCCCCCTGCCCCTTGTTCTTTCCTTCCATCCACTCTCTCTTCCCCAGCCTTAGTGACTGCACGAAATACACGTTGCAGGTAATTATGGTATACCCTTCAGGTAGGGCGATCGAAGAAGAAGGGGGCGAGTATCGAGGGTTTGGGATAGATGTGTTGGGTAGCACGCGGGCAGATAAGAGCGAGCAGTCTCAAACTTATTTTTGTTGTTGTCGTCGTGTTTGTTGTCGTTGTTATTGTTGTCGTTGTTGTTGTGTCTGTTGTTTAACTGTCACTACTGAAGAATAATTATTATTGATCCCTCACCTCCGGTGACCATTGTAGTTTTTTCATTTGAAGTGCTTCCCCCGGGGCTCTCATCCTGTTTTTTTGCAGGGAATGTCACGGGGTCAAACTGGGCCCCTGGCCCCCGGTTTATAACAACAGCGGCTTCTGCCTTATACTTCCTCACAATGTACTTTCAAAATACGCACTCGCGCGGGACTTTCTCACAATTCATGTACGCATCGCGCTCTAGCGTGGGACTTCCTCGCAGTTTATTCAGACGATGCGCCCTTGGCGTTCAGGAGTCGCGCTCTCGCATTGGTTTTTCTTACGATTTACTTGGGAATCGCGCTATCGCTACAGACATCCTCGCGATTCATGCAGGGCCCACGCTTCAGCAGCACGCCTGCTCGACCTCGTCGCCTGGGCCCGCCTTCCGACCTGCCCGCCATGGGTCGGCTCACCCGATTTGCCCGTCTGGTTCTACCATTTGTTTTCCGCTTCTTGCCCCCCTCCTGCTAATTTCTCTCGTGCTCCATTCTTCTCCCTCCCCATTTCACCCGTCCTCTCCCCTTGGTTTAGGAGCTGCACTAAATGCACGTGGCAGGTAAGCAAGATATACCCCCAAGGGGGTTACGACCGAAGACAACGAGGGCGGGTACCGAGGGTTTGGGATATACGTATTGATTGGCACGTGAGCAGATAGGAGCGAACAGCCTTAAACGGATTTTTTGTTTTTCCCGTTTGTTGTGGTTGTTGTTGATGATAAGGTTTTTGTTGTGATTCTTAGGCTTACGCCACACCGCCGACCCCTTGTTTATGCCAATCTGGGGGTAGTAGAAGCTGCGAAGGGGTGAAAAGGCGAGTGATATTTGTTTGGTGTCTGTTCGCCGCCACCGCCAGAGGGTCTCGGGCAGTTCCGCGGGGGGGTCCGAGCGGACGGCGACACCGCGAGTTTTGGAGCCACTTGGGGGCCGTTTCGGAGCCTCTGGGGTGCTTCTTGGGGGTTCCTTGGGGCGTCTGGGCGGCCTCGTGAGGGCCTCTGGGGGCCTCTTGGGGCACTCTTGGGGCCCCCTGGGGCTCCTGGGGGCAGAAAGCTAGAGTTTCAACATGTTTGGTCGCCCTCTTGGGCCCCTCTTGGTGCCGTCTTGGAGCCCTCTTGGGCCGTCTTGGGGACCTCTTGGGCCGTGTTGGGGCCGTCTTGGGCCGTCTGGAGGCCGTCTTGGGGGCCTCTTGGGCCATCTTGGGGCTGTCTTTGGGGCCTCTTTGGCCGTCTTGGAGCGTCGGGAAGCCGAAAAGGCGGAAAAGCAAAAAACATCGAAAAACACTATGGAAAATCAACAATTTTAGACTCTTGGGGCCCTCTTGGGAGGCTTGTTTGAGACCTCGGGGGCCGTCTTGGAGACCTCTTGGCCCGTCTTTGGGCCATCTTGGGCGTCTTGGAGCGGTCGTTTGGCGTCTCGGGGCCTTCGTGGGCCGTTTTGGAGGCCTCTTGGGGGCTTCTTGGCCCGTCTTGAGGCCCTCTTGGGCCCGGAAAAGCCCCGTGAACCGCTCGTCCCGGCCGTGCTGCGCTCGTCCCGGCCGTGCTGCGCTCGTCCCGGCCGTGCTGCGCTCGTCCCGGACCCCCCCCCCCCTCCAAATCGACCGGACCGGGCTCCCGGGGGAGGGGTTTGGGGAGGGGGAAGCATCTCACACGCCGATGATCCCCAAGGGGTCGGCGGATTGTCATTGTTGTCGTTTTTTTTTTTTTTTTTTTTTTTTTTTTTTTTTTTTTTTTTTTTTTTTTTTTTTTTTTTTTTTTTTTTTTTTTTTTTTTTTTTTTTTTCTTCTTCTTCTTCCTTTTTTTGTCTGCTGTTGTTGTTGCTGTTGCTGCTGCTGTTGTAGTTGTTGTTGTTGTTGTTGTTGTTGTTGTTGTTGTTGTTGTTGTTGTTGTGGTTGTGGTTGTTGTTGTTGTTGTTGTTGTTGTTGTTGTTGTTGTTGTTGTTGTTGTTGTTGTTGTTGTTACTGTTGTTATCGTTGAACTCTCATTTCTGAAGAATAACTATTGTTGATCCCCCCTCACCAGTGCATGCTGTTTTTCTCAATTAAAGTGTGCCCCTCGACGCTCGCACCCTGTTTTTTGACGGGGGAAGTCTTGACGCTCAAACTGCGCCCCTGACCCCCGGGTTACAACAACACGACTTCCTCACAATTTAGCCAGGACCCCCGCTCCCGGCCGAGACTTTCCTCGTATTCTTTTCAGGAATCGCGCTCTCGCTTGGGACTTCCTTACAATGTATTCAGGAATCGCTCTGCCGGCGCTCTGGAGTCGCGCTCTCGCTGGAGACTTGCTTGCGATTTACTGAAGAATAGCGCCCTTGCGTTGGAATTTCCTGCAATTTGCTCAAGCGCCGCGCTCCCGACACCAAGGCACCCAGGAGTCGCGCCCGTTGTAGCCCCATGTGCATGCTCTTCGTGGCCCCGCTGTCGCCGTTTGTGGCCCCCTCACTGTCCTACGTGACCCAGCTGTTACTCTCAGTGGCCCCATCGTTGCCTTCTGTGGCCCCGCATTATCTGCCCTTCGTGGCCCCCGCTCGTTCGCGCTCTTCTTGGCCCCATACGCATTCCCTTCGTGTCCCCGCTGTCGCCCTTCGTGGCCTACTTCGTGTCCTTCGTGGCCCTGCTGTCGTTCTCTCTCGCTCTTGCTTTCGCTCGTCGTCGCCGCCGTCGTCGTCGCCGTCGTCATCGACGTCGTCGTCGTCGTCGTCGTCGTCGTCGTCGTCGTCGTCGTCGTTGTCGGTCCCCTGTCCGTCCCTCTTGGGGTCGGGTCGACGGTCCGCGGCCGCCCCGCCGATCAGCGCTGCCGCTGGCCAGGCCGACGGTCCGCGGCCGCCCCGCCGCTTGCCGGGGCCCGGCCTGCAGGGAAGAAAAGTATACCCCCCAAAAGGGGTTCGAAAGACGAAAAGGGCGGGGATCGAGGGTTTGGGAGATACGCGTTACTGGACACTCGAGCAGATAAGGGCGAACAGTCTTACAATGATTTGTTGTTGTTGTTGTTGTTGTTGTTGTTGTTGTTGTTGTTGTGGTTGTGGTTGTTGTTGTTGTTGTTGTTGTTGTTCCCTACCTAGGCTCTGCCTAGAAGGGTTCTTACTCTCTGGGCTTAAAGGGGGCCGGGCTGTGGAAAGCGCCCCGGGCGGTTCCCCCAGTATCCGCCCCGCGGTTCCCCCAGTTGCGCGCCCCCTGGGTTCACCCAGCTTAGCTAAGCTTAGCTAAGCGTAGCCAAGCTTAGGTTAGGTTAGCTTAAATTAGCTTGGTTTCTTTTTATTCCCTACCTAGGCTCTGCCTAGAAGGGTTCTTAGCTCAGCTTCAGCTTAGCTTTAGCTTAGCTTTAGCTTCGCTTTAGCTTAGCTTTAGCTTAGCTGCAGCTTAGCTGTAACTTAACTTCAGCTTAGCTTTAGCTTACCTTTAGCTTAGCTTTATCTTAGCTTTAGCTTATCTTCAGCTGAGCTTTAGCTGAGCTTTACCTTAGCTTTAGCTTAGCTTTAGCTTTAGCTTAGCTTTAGCTTAGCTTTACCTTAGCTTTCGCTTAGCTTTACCTTAACTCCTACCTTAGCTTCAGCTTAGCTTTAGCTTAGCTTCAGCTTAACTTTAGCTTTGCTTTAGCTTAGTTTTAGCTTAGCTGTAGCTCAGCTTAAGCTTAGCTTTGGCTTAGCTTCAGCTCAGCTTTAGTTTAGCTTCTAGCTTAGCTTTAGCTTAACTTTAGCTTAGCTTTAGCTTAGCTTCAGCTTAGCTTCAGCTTAGCTATAGCTTAGCTTTAGCTTAGCTTTAGCTGAGCTTTAGCTTAGCTTTAGTGTTACTACTAATGCTGCTTTCATAGGGGCTCCAACTTCTAGGTAGGGTCGCACTGGGGTAAGTGGTGTTGTTGTTATAATTTATGTTTGTTGTTGGAGGTGTTGTTCGTGTCGTCGTCGTCGGCGTTGTTGTTGCTGCTGTTTCTGTTGTTGTTGTTATTGTTAGTGTTGTACTCGTATTATTATTATTATTTTTATGAGTAGTAGTAGTAGTATTAGTAGTAGTAGTATTAGTATTAGTAGTCGTAGTAGTCGTAGTAGTAGTAGTAGTAGTAGTAGTAGTAGTAGTAGTAGTAGTAGTAGTAGTAGTAGTAGTCGTCGGTGTAGTAGTAGTAGTAGTAGTAGTAGTAGTAGTAGTATTAGTCGTCGTAGTTTTTGTTTTTGTTGTTGGTGTTGCTATGAATTCCATGGGGTCTCCGCTTTCTCGATTTTCACCCTTTCTCCGGATTCCCACCCCTCTCTCCCCCTCCCTCCAATTCACCCCCTCCCCTTCTTCCCCTTCTCCCCTCCGTCTCCTCTCGTCGTCGTTATCGTCGTCGTCGTCGACGACGTCGTGGTGGTCCTCTGCCTCCTCCTCCTCCTTCACCTCCTCTTCCTCCCCAACCCCCTCCTTCTTTTTTCCTTCTTCTTTGTCCTTCCTTTCCCAGGAACGGATGGAGTTTGCAGGGGGAGGGACATGAAAGAGCAACATGAGGAGGAGGAGGAAGAGGAGGAGGAGGATGAGGAGGAGGAGGAGGAAGAGGAGGAGGACAAGCAGGAGGAGGAGGAGGAGGTGCGCCCCCGCTAGAGGAGCGCGGCGGCGACCGGTCCGACTCCCGCGACCGCAGCAGGCTCTGACCCAGCTTGGGCGCGCCTCGCGGGCTTGACGTGGACACCTTCCCTCTCGCCACGACCTCCCGCATCTTCTTTTCTCCCTCCTGTTTCCTCCTCTTCTCCCCCCTCCCTCCTCCTCCCCCTCCCTCCTCCTCTTTCTCCCCCTCCTCCTCTTCCTCCTCCTCCTCCTCCTCCCTCTCCTCCTCCTCCTCTTCCTCCTCTTCCTCTTGAGCTTTCTCGGAGGCCTGTTTGGGCCGTCTGTGGGCCATCTTGGGGTTCCGCAGGGCCGTCCTGGGGCACTGGGGCCGCCTGGTGCCCCCAAAGGCCGTCTCGGGTGTCTCCTGGGGCCGTCTTGTAGCCCTCCCTCCCTCCCTTACTCTTGGAGCGATGTGTTCACAACGGTTCTCTGACGTGATAACTGCTGTTTATACTTCATTGAAGACCGGAGACCTGGGGCCCTGACGACGCCGCTTTCGACGAGGACGCCGCCGTCGATAACGCCGTCGACGACGAGGCCGCCGCCGCCGCCGACGCCGCCGCCGACGACGCCGCCGACGACGCCGCCGACGCCGCCGCCGACGACGACGACGCCTCCGTGCGGAGAGGCATCGCCGCCGGCGCGGCGGCAGCCGGGAGGGCGGCCGGCGCGGCGAGCGGCGCAACCACAGCCGCGACCGCGGGCGCTCAGGAGGGCGCTCCGCTCCGTTCGGCCGTGCCCTCGCAGCCGCCGCCGCCGTCCCTGCCGCTCCCGCCGTGGCCGCCGAAGTGGTCGCCGCCGTGGCCGCTGCCGCCGTGGCCGTCGTCGTCGCCGTCGTTGTCGTCTCTGCCGTCGTCGTCGTCGTCGTCGTCGCCGTCGTCGTCGTTGTCGTCGCCGTCGTCGTCGTTGTCGTCGTCGTCGTCGTCGTCGTCGCCGCCGCCGCCGTCGTCGTCGTCGTCGTCGTCGTCGTCGTCGTCGTCGTCGTCGTCGTCGTGGTCGTCGTCGCCTTCGTCGCCTTCGTCGTTGTCGTCGTCGTCGTGGTGGTGGTGGTGGTCGTCGTCGTCGTCGCCGTGGCCGTCGCCATCGCCGTGGCTGTTGCCGCCGTCTGTCAGACGACTGCTGCTGCAGGGCGCCCTTTTCTTCAGACTCGCCCGAACCAATAGCGTCATGGACGGTCATCACACAGATCGTCACACACACACATATATATATATACACATACGTACATATACATACACGTGCTATATGTACGTGTGTGTGTATGTGTGTGCGCGTGTTTGTCCGTGTGTGGGTGTATATAAGCCAGGGTTGACCCCCAAAAGTGTGTTTCTAGCATTTTAGTTTGTGCAATCTGCATGGGGCATTCTATGTTGTGCGATATAGATTGCATTTTTCAACATCGGTTGCGCAAAATTCTAGACGCTTCGCGTACCCCCACCAGTCACCCAGGCTTTGCCCGTGTGAGTTTGGGCCGTGATGCAAAGGCACTGGCTGAAGGCCCTACCTTGTGCTTCGCCTGTCGAAGCTCTTGTCGTGTGCCTACTGGCCTCCCCCCCATCGGTGGCTTGGTGAGTGATCGGCGTTCTCGGTGACGTACACGCACTGGGTGCCACGTGAGTGAGTCCGCCACGCTTCCTCCCCGGTTGCGCTCTTTTTCTCCGCTCGCGCCCCCCGGCGCCCTCCTTCCCGGTTGCCGGTCGGCACTCCACCTGCGGGTCCGGCCAGGTTTCCGTCTGCCCATCCGTGGCCGCCCTCTTCTGCTGGTATCCGCCCAGCGGCTTTTGCTTGGGTCTGTGTGCCTCCGGCAGGGTTTCGGTCCGGCCCCACCTGCGGGTTGGCCTGTGCTCGGTGGTTGCCCAATTGTGACCGCCCCTCTTCCTAATTTGTTTGCAAGTGCACTTCGCGCGTTCTCGCGCCAATGATCTGTCGCTGTGCCCCAGCCTCGGTCGTACCGCCCTCTGGACTTCTCCTTGCGGGCCGCAAGCCGAAACAAAAATACTCCCACCAGCCGCTCTGTGCTCCAGGCGTGAATCCCGCTCCCTGGATCTGTCCTTAGAGCCGCGAGCCAAGAAAACGTACCCCCACCAGCGGCCTGCGCCCCAGACTTACGACTCGCCGTTTGCGCTCTCGCCCGCGGCCGCGACCCCCCAAAAAAATCCCCACCAGCCCCAGAAACGATGTCCAGGCGAGTTAATGTGATCAGGGAAATGCGGGAGCAAAGAGGGGGGCGGTCGAACCGTGCGACGGATGGAGGAGGAGAAGGAGGAGGCTGGCTGGATGGATGGATGAGGGAGTGGGGAGAAGGAGGATATATAGGAGGAGGAGGAGGAGGAGGAGGAGGAGGAGGAGGAGGAGGAGGAGGAGGAGGAGGAGGAGGAGGAGGAGGAGGAGGAGGAGGAGGAGGAGGAGGAGGAGGAGGAGGAGGAGGAGGAGGAGAGGAGGAGGAGGAGGAGGAGGAGGAGGAGGAGGAGGAGGAGGAGGAGGAGGCGGAGGCGGAGGCGGAGGCGGAAGGCGGAGCGGAGGAGGAGGAGGAGGAGGAGGAGGAGGAGGAGGAGGAGGAGGAGGAGGAGGAGGAGGAGGAGGAGGAGGAGGGAGGAGGAGGAGGAGGGAGGAGGAGGAGGAGGAGGAGGAGGAGGAGGAGGAGGAGGGAGGAGGAGGAGGAGGAGGAGAGAGGAGGAGGAGGAGGAAGGAGGAGGAGAGGAGGAGGAGGAGGAGGAGGAGGAGGAGGAGGAGGAGGAGGAGAGGAGGAGGAGAGGAGGAGGACGAGGAGGAAGAGCAGGAATAGGAGGAGGAAGGAGGAGCAGGTGGAGGAGGGTACGCAAAAGGGCCAGAGGTCTCTTGGATGCCTCTCGGAGCCTCTTGGGAGATCTCTTGGGCGCTTCTTGGTGGCCACTTGGGACGTCTTAAGGGGGTCTCTTGGCGGTCCTGGGGGGCTCTTGGGCTTCTGGGGTGCCTCGGTGGGGCCTCGTGGGTCCGCTTGGGGTCCTTTTGGGGGTCTCCTGGGGATCTCTTGGGGGGCTCCTGGGGCAATGTTGGGGCGATCTTGGGGCCTCTTGGGGCCTCTTGGGCGCTTCTTAGGGCCATCTTGGATGACATCTAGCCCTGCCCCCCAAGAGGCCAAACTGGGGCCAACACCTTAGTAAAAACACTGATTTTGGCTTCCTCGCCGAGGTCGTTTTGGACGCCCCAGTGGGTCGCGGCACCGCCCGTCCAGGGTCCAGGGAAGGGGGGAAGGGGGGGTCAAGATTCCCTCCCCGCCCGCAAGCCGTCTCGCTCACTCCCACCCGCCCTCCCCACACATACGTAGCACCCGAGCCTGGCCCGCGCCTCAGCATATTCAGCAGTCGTCTTTGGATGGGCAACTTCTGGGGGCGCATCCGCCGCCGCCGCAGCCGCCTCCGCCGCCGCCCCCGCCGCCCGCCGCCGCCGCCACCGCGCCGCCGCCGCCGCCGCCGCTGCCCGCCGCCGCGCCCCCGCCGCGCCGCCCGCCGCCGCTGCCGCCGCCGCCGCCGCCGCCGCCGCCGCCGCCGCCCCCGCTGCCGATTTGCGCCGCCGCAGCCGCTTCCGCCGCCGCCGCCGTCGCCGCCGCCGCCGCCGCCGCCCCCGCCGCCGCCGCCGCCGCCGCCGACGCCGCAGCCGCCGCCACCGCCGCAGCCGTCGCCGCCGCCGCCGCCGCCAAGTGTACCCTGTATTGTTTTTTGACAGGGAAGGTGGGGGGAGGCCGCATCGGGTTGGCTGCGCATGCTCCGAATTTGGAGGCAGAGTGTGCTTTATATTGTTTTTTTTCAAAGGATGGTGGGGGGGGGTGCCCACATTGTCCCTGGTTGGCTGCCGGTCGCCTGGGGGAGGGAGTGTCTATTATTATTATTATTATTACTATGATTATTATTATTATTATTATTATTATTATTATTATTATTATTATGGAACAGTCATTCAAGGCACTTTCTCCGCACGCACGCCGTCTGGCTCACTCCCACCCGCCCTCCCACCACATAAATGGTTCCCGAGTCTCGGCATGGCCAGGGGTCGCCACTGGATGGACAGCCATTGGGGACCAAAGTGGACGCCAGGTGCGCGACGCTCGCCGCGGGCTCCACTTGCGGTTGGTGTGTCACTCTTTTTAAAAAATGTGATACCTCCCCCGTACGCATGGTACAGACGCTGATGTTGGGGGCGCCAGCATTGTTGTGGGCCTGCGCGCAGCAAACATCATCATGCGGGCATGCGGGCACGGCCGCCGTCTCTGCCAAAACACAATACACAGTGATCGCGGATGGCCAGCACAATACCCAAGATGTTGTCGCAACGTGCACTTTGCATTGCTTCTGACACGAATACAGGTCCTGCACAGCGCGGCTTCACTAAGGGTGCCTCGCCATCCCTTTCAAAAACAGTACAACGGTCTCAGACTGCGCCAGCGCGCTGCCCAGGTTTTGTTGCAATGAATGCTTCGTACTGTTTTTTGAAAAAGGATTGTGGAGGGTGTTGGCAGGGTGGGCCCCAGAATTCGCATTTTTGGTATGGTTTTTTGCAGGGGCGGGGGGGGGTGCCCGCACGGTTCCGGGTTGGTTGCCGGCCAGGTGGAAGAGGGGGTGTGTACTAATAGGGAACAGTGAAAACGTTTCCCGAAAAGGGAAGAAGGGAGTTGGAAGAGGAACCGCCCCCACCTGCGCCAAGAGGGCTGGTAGGATCTGTGGTGCAATCGGTGTGGTGCTATTTACGTGGTGCAGTCTATGTCGTGCAATCGGTTTTACCAAACGAGTTGACACATCCCACGCTCGTGCAATCATCCCACCCACCCACCCACCCGCAACTTGGCTTGCAAAGCCCATGTGGTGACGACTGCAATGAGTGTTTTTGGAGTTAGCTGGCCCATCTCTGCGGCCGCGCCAACCCAAGCGCACGCGCAGCGGCCAGCTAGTTTGGCGCGACCGACGCGGCCGCGGTGGCGCTGACTGCTGGGCACATCCCAGCTTGGCGACGACACCGACGACGTTTCCAAAGACTTCGACGCCGACAACGACGACGACGACACCGACGACGACGACGCCGACGCCGACGACGACGATGACAACGAAGACGACGATGACGACGCCGACGACGACGACGACGCCGACGCTGTCGTCGACGTCAACGACGCCGACGACGACGACGACGGCGGCGGCGACGACAACGAAGCCGACGACGACGACGACGACGCCGACGACGACGACGATGAAGACGACGACGACGTCGCCAACGACGACGACGAGGGAGGAGGGAGGACGACGACGGCGACAACGACGACAACGACGACAACGACGAGGGAGGAGGGAGGACGGCGATGACGCGAACGACGAAGAAGGAGGTTGGACGGCGACGCCGACGACGACAACGACGAGGGAGGAGGGAAGACGACGACGACGACAACGACGACGACGACGACGACGGCGACGAAATAGGAGGGACGACGACGAGACGCCGACGACGGACGACGACGACGACGACGACGACGACGACGGACGGCGAAAATAGGAGGGACGACGACGAGACGCCGACGACGGACGACGACGACGACGACGACGACGACGACGACGACGACGACGGCGACGAAATAGGAGGGACGACGACGAGACGCCGACGACGGACGACGACGACGACGACGAGGGAGGAAGAAGAAGGACGACCACGGCGACAACGACGACGGAAACGACCAGGACGCCAAAGAAGACGACGACGACGAACACGAGGAAAGACAGGACGACGTAGGCGACGACGACGACGACGACGCGGGAGGAGGGAGGACGGCGACGACGACGACGATGACGACGACGCAAAAGCGCGCGCGCACGTTTTTGTTGAAAATCCGTGTTGCGAAACCTTGTGTTTTTTCAGGTTTTATGGTCACGATTTTGAAAGTCTTCCGAAACCGATGGGTTTTGAAGGATTTCGGTATACGCGCGCGACGACGCGCGCGTCTGCACTTCGCCTTTGTTTTTTTTGCAGAGGATTCTGGCGACGGCACACGCGCAAGGGCGTTGGACAGATTTCGAAATGCTTGCGCGCGAAGCCCGTTTGGTAGCATTTGGTGAAAAAATTGAAAAACCCACGGTTTTATTAAGATTTCGCAAGAGCTCGCGCGTAAGCTTTTTTAACACATCAGTGTTGCGAAACCCTGTGTTTTTTGCAGGTTTGTTTTGGAAACTCGATTTCGAAGTCCTTCCGACACCGAAGGTTTTTGAAGGATTTCGGCATGCGCGCGCGTGCACTTCGTCCCTTTTTTTGTTAGGAATTCGTGAACAAGGGTTATGTTAGAGCAAAATATGTCCCCGCGTATTGTTTTTTACAAGGGAACCTCAGGGGGACCGATACCGGCCCCTCTGGGATGTTGTACATTCATATTTAGGATGGACATGTGGTCATAATCATACCCGAAAGGGGGGCGGCGAACGCCGGGGGGGGGGGTAGAATCTATTGTGTTTTTGGAAGGGAGAATTGATGTTGTACACATATGTGGTGCTTTGGTGCATTTCCGTGGCTTGTAGTCTCCGAAATTTGGTCAATCGTCGTTGTGCAATCTGTGTGGTGCAATCAGTGAGGTGCGTTTTATGTTGTGTAAACAATGTGGTATCATTCAGTTGCCGAGCTTGAAGCTGTCAGTTCCACTGTTCGCGCAATCGTCCCACCCACCCACCCGCACCTTGGTTTGCAAAGTCCATGCGGCAACGATTGCGATGAGTGGTGGGTGTTGGCTGGTGCCTCTCTGTGGCCGCGCTAGCCCGCGCATGCTCGCGTGCGCAGCGGCCAGCCAGTTTGGCGCGACCGTCGCGAACGCGGGGGGGCGTTGACCGCTCGGCACATTCCAGCGGGCACTGCAGTGCGAGTCGGCGACTTGGGCGGGCGCGGCATCATGGCAATGTCGACAGGTGTAGACACGATGATGATAGTAGCGATGCTGGTAACGATGCTGAGTGGCAGCGACGACGGGGCAGCCAGTGGGGGCGCCGATGCGGATCACGCCGACGACGATGACGGCGTCCTCGCGTCGGCAATAAGGTTTTGGACGAAGTTCGAAATGCGCGCGCGGCAGACGCGCGAGGTTGGCACGCATTATATTACTCGACGCGTATCGCGCCACCCGAGCACGCGCGCAAAGGGTGTCTGTCGAACGATTTCGATATGCGCGCGCGTAGCCCGTTTGGTCGTATTTCAGGACAGTGTTAAAACACTCTATGACTGTCGAAAAGATTCGCAAGAGCGCGCGCGATTTGTTTTTTGGAATTCCGTGCTGCGAAACCCGGTGTTTTTTATTTGTTCGTCGGACCGTCGATTTTGAATTCTTTACGAAACCGAAGGTTTTTCAGTTATTTCTGTATGCGCGCGCGACGGCGCGCGTGTGCACTTCGTCCTGTTTTTTGGAAGGAATTGATAAACGAGTTTGCGCGCATAGTAGTTTTTGCAGAGGGTGCTGGGGGGGCGATGCCGGCCTGCCTGGGATGGTATGAGTTCGTAGTCAG